TGGCTCATCACAGTCTCAACCTCCTGGGCTCAGGCGATCCTTCTACCTCAACCTCCCAAATATCTGGGAGTGCAAGGGCACACCACCCCACCTGGCTAATTTTCAATATTTTTGTAGAGACGAGATCTTGCTATATTGACCAGGATGGTCTCAAACTCTTGGGCTCAAGCAATCCTCCTGCTTTGGTCCCCAAAGTGCTGGGATTACAGGTATGAGCCACCGCACCTGGCCTATAGCCACACACTTTGGACTTAACATTGTTTTATAATTTACTTTTTTTCTCATGACACAATGGATTATGTCATTACATTTCTTTTATTGACTACCTCTTATTAGCTATACAAGCATAACTGATATAGCTACTTTAGTTGAAATATTATGTGTTGACCACGCGCGGTGGCTCAGCCTGTAATTCTAGTACTTTGAGAGGCCGAGGTGAGAGGATTGCCTGAACCTGGGGATTCGAGGCCCACCTGGGCAACTTGGTGAGACCTCATCTCTACAATAAATCACAAAAACTAGCCAGGCATGGTGGCATGCGTCTGTAGTTCCAGCTACTTGGAAGGCTAAGGCGGAAGGATCACCTATGCCCAGCAGGTCGAGGCTGTGGTGGCCATGATCATACCACTGCACTGCAGCCTGGGCAACGAAGAATGAGACTCTAACTCAAAAAAAAGAAAGAGAGGGGAGGGAGAAAGAAAGAGAAAGAAAAGAAAGAAAGAGAGAGAGAGAGAGGGGAAAGAAAGAAAGAAAGAGAGAGAGAGAGAGAAAGAGAGAGAGAGAGAAAGAAAGAAAGAAAGAGAGAGAGAGAGAGAGAGAGAGAAAGAGAGAAAGAAAGAAAGAAAGAAAGAAAGAAAGAAAGAAAGAAAGAAAGAAAGAAAGAAAGAAAGAAAGAAAGACTAGTAGTTAAACATAATAGAAGGTCTCTGCACCTGGTATAGACCTCTGGTATAGATCTCTGCAACTGGTATAGACCTCTAACTCTAGGTCTCTACAAGACCAATGTGTCTCTTCACATGTATTGGGCAGGATGCTTTAGACAAAACATTGTGCTAGGGGTTATAATATCTATTGACTAATTGATTTCATGCTTAAGCCTGCTACTTATCCAGTAATCATTCTTTCAATGAATCTCTGTTTTGAAAATGAAATATCATGCTGGGTACTAGGCATCTGTAGAGAAAAAGCAGTCTCTGACCAGATGATCTTGCAGTTTGAGGGAACAAAAACTGTATCACAAAGTGGAAAGTGTAAAACAGGAAATGTGCTGTGTTATTTCAAAAAAGCTAGCTCTTATTTTCAGTGAATGTCTGGGAAAGTTTATGGGAGAACTGAATTTTGAGTTAAGCTCTGAAGGATGAGTAGAATTTGGACATGTGAGACTAGAGGGGAGAAGGTGAGGGAAATAGCAAAATCACAAAAGCAGAGATTGGAATGATCAAAGGGGCCTCGAAATAGTGTTTAGACTAGAGAGCTCATGGAGATGACATTAGAAAAGCAAACACCTGTATGTAAGTTTCCATCACTCTTTGGTAATGTTGTTTCTATTTATTTCCCTTTTAAGGTAAGGTTTGTGGAGATATATTGCCTGCACCATTGCTGACAGCCACCAATGAGGCCACAGTTACATTTGTTTCCGATACAGAAAACAGTGGCAGTGGCTTTGAGCTTATCTTTACGGCTGTTCAGAATTCAGAAGCAGGTATTAATTCCCTGCTATTTTTCTCTGATGTCAGAATGAGAAAGAGGAAATGCCTTTGGTCATTGACTTTTATTTTCCCCAATTCTTCTATAGGTTCAGATTGTGGGAGTGTGGTTATATTGGTAAAAGAAGGGGCAGTCCACTCTGACAACTATCCTGCCTTGTATCCTAGCAATATTAGGTGTCATTGGTCCATCCATCCTTCAAAGAAACGCATTATAAAGGTAGGAAACTAAGGACTTCTCTGCTTCCCAGAGAACTTAGCTATGTTAGTTAGGCAGGATTTACTTCACCTGGATTGTTAAATTGCCATTAGGATTAGGAACTTGTCTACGTTATTTTTTACTTCAAAAAGGGATCTCTGTTTGGTTTTAAAGATTTCAGTGGTTTAAAAGTGTATATAATGAAAAATGAAATGCCTTCTCATTAGACTCCCATCCAACTCCGTGGAGGCAAACACTGATGACATACTACAGTATCCCTGGCGAGGTATTCTGAGAATTTACTCACACACATGCTTGGCACTGATTTTCCCATTGAAAAATATCTCGAAGATCTTTCAGATGAGCCCACAGAGCTCTTTTTAGCAACTATATAAAATATTGTGTGATGTTTCAGAATCTATTAAACCATTTCCCTATTAACAGATTTTTATGTTTTCAGTCTTTGCTTTTACTAGCAATGTTGCCATGAATAAACCTGTCACTATTTTGTATACACATGTGGATATATATAATTCCCAGAAGCAGATTTGCTGGTTCAGAGGGTTTGTCCATTTAAACCTGATAGTCATTGCCAAAGAGACCGCAATTATTTACCCTCCTGTAGGAAGAAATATGAGAATGTGGCAGAGAGCCTTTAAATATACAGAGGGCAACTTTTGAAGCTCATCTCCTCTCGTCCTTGACCACTTCTCTGGTTATGTTTATAATTTGTACAGTTGACATTTGAGGACTTTACTGTGGAATTCAACCAAAACTCTGTTCATGATGCAGTTGTGATTTGTGGTGATTCCGAGGAAGAACATGAGTTAGGTGGGTAACATTTCGTCCTTTAAATTTGAAAAGTGTTAGACTATCCAGAGTAGTTACAGCATTGGCTGGCTTCCTTGGGTGCCATGAGGTTGAGTGGGAATGATAATTTCTTGCCCTGGAAACTGAAGTTGCCATAAAGCTTTAGCATTAATACCCATGAGCCAGCAACTGATTCACCAGTAAAGTTTTTAACAGAGACATGCAAGAGGCGAATTATATTTCAGACTATTTGGAAGGTGAAAAGGAAGTCCTCAGAGAAAAGAGAAAATAGTAACAGTGAGTATATTTTTGGCAGTTATTTTAAGGTAAATTGTAAAACTTCCGTCTATGTTAATTTCTTCTATTGTTGATATTTTGATGTTTGTATCCAAGAAAAGTAACCAACAGCTATAATTTCTACTTGGGTCTTACAACTAATTTTAAGACATAATGTTTAAAACTTCAAATACACTTTCAGTTATGGCCTAACAATGTACTGAATATGAAGAATTTCCAGTCTCGCAACCACTTTCTTTTTTTTTTTTTTTTTAAATTGTGGGGTACAGTTCAGGGTTAGGTATACAAATATTCATTGTGCAGGTGCCCTTGTTGATGAGGTGTGCCCCCCCTTCCCCAAGCAGATTTCGACTACTGTCAATCCCACCTGTCGCTACTGTCAATCCTTTTTTTATAGTATTATGGTAGTTGTTCAAGATCCATTTATGAGTGAGAACATGTGATACTCAGATCTTTGTTTTTGTGAAAGATCACCAGTATTGTAAACTCTAATTCCATCCAGGTTGCTGCAAAGTTCATGATTTTGTTCTTCTTTATGGCTACATAATATTCCATTGTGTATATGTACCACATTTTTTTTTATCCAGTCCTCTTTTGATGGGCAGCACAGCAACCACTTTCTTAGCACCTAGGGTTTGTCCCTCCAGCTGGGTGTTAGTGTGGGTGAAAGGTCAGGAATATAGATGGACTTGGAATATTTAGTTGGGCATTAAGAGCAGGTGAGTGAACCATAATCCCCTGATCCCACAGAACAGTACCTGTCTAGTGTGAGGTTTCTGTGAATGATTTCAGGAGTAGGCTGGGCATGGTGGCTCATGCCTATAATCCCAGCACTTTGGGATACTGAGGTGAGAGGATTGCCTGAGCCTGAGGTTTCAAGACCAGCCTGGACAACTTGGCGAGCACTCATCTCTACAATAAATCAAAAAATTAGCAGGGCATGGTAGTGCATGCCTGTAATTCCAGTTATTTGGAAAACTGAGGCAGAAGGATTGCCTGAGCCCAGCAGGTAGAGGTTGTGGTGGCTGGGAGCGTGCTACTGCACTCCAGCCTGGGTGACAGAGTGAGACTTCAACTCAAAAAAAAAAAAATTTTTTTCAGGAGTTATCTGATTACAGAACATGTGGCCATGTCTTGTTTGAAGGAAGAAATACAGAAACTTGAGTGCTTGCTTTTTGTTTCACTCACCTCTTCTCATTGTTTACAAGTTAATAATTGAGGTTTCTGTGCATACTAGAAATCTGACATCTTTATACTGTTTGTAGAGCTTTTTCTGTGAGATGGAATTATAGTGTATTGTTACTGTGAAATTATTAATTCTCACCTCAGATATAAGGATATGCCTACAAATCAGAGTTGGAGAAAACCAAACCCAAAGCTACTGACAGTAAATTAATTAGATGATATTTTACCTCTGTGTTCTGATTTTTAAAAATGTTTATAAGTCAGCCGTGTACTTATAAAAATTTTTTTTTCAACTGTTATAAGTGGCTCAAGCCTGTAATCCCAGCACTTTGGGAGGCCAAGGTGAGAGGATTGCCTGTGCTCAGGGGTTCAAGACCAACCTGGGCAACTTGGTGAGACCTCATCTCTAAATCAAAAGCAAATAAGCTGGATGTGGTAGCGCGTACCTATAGTTCCGGCTACTTGGAAGGCTGAGGTGGAAGGATCACCTGAGTCCAGCAGGTTGAGGCTGTGGTGGCCATGAGCATACCGCTGCACTCTAGCCTGGATAACTGAATGAGACTCCAACTCAAAAAAAATTTTTTTTTTAATAAGTCAAACTTCCCTAAAACTTCTCAGTTAAGCTTTGTGGAATCTTGAACATCACTCCAGTATTCCGTCCTAGTAACATGATGGTGATCCTTTTAAAAAGTGATTTCTGAGACTTTAAAGTTAGATTTTTTTTTTTTACCTTCAGGTATATAAAAACACTTGTGTAATAGGGACTTTTGCTTATGAAAACTGTAACAAGGAAGATAATTTAGCTTTGTTTACCTAAATGCAGGGTATTTGAACCACCTCAGCAGATATAATAAAACTGCAAATTACTGGGTCTTTCCCCAGAGATCTAGATTCTGTAGAACTGGAATGGAGTCCAGGAATCTGTACTTTAGCAAACACCTCAGGGTACTGCTCAAGAAACTGCATCCATTAGCATATTAAGAGTCTAAACACCATGTATGAGTAGTAGAATATTCAGATTAAAGGATGTAACTCAGAAATGAGGTTGACTGGTTCTATTTTAGAATGTTAGAAGGTTTTGAAGCTTTGATTCATTTCTTGGCAATGTAGAAGACAGAATACACCTTACCCAGACAAAAGGAATATCATACAAAAACCTTAATGAAAGACAATGGGCAATGTATAAAACTACACATAACTCAATATTGTTTGAATTTTGGAGAAAATGATAGAAAAGGCAGAAGTTAGATCATGTTGGACACAAAACGCTAAATTATAAGTATCAGAATGATAGGATTACTTGCTCATAGCAAGTATGGACTGAGCATTTCACATGCCTTATCTCATTTATTCCTCCTCACAGACCTAGAAGGTATGTGCATGGCTCTCCTTTTGCAGATGAGTGAACTGAGGCTTAGAGAATCTAAGTAAGCTTCCCAAAAATGCTCAGCTGGCAAGAAGTGAAGCCATAATTCAAACCTTGGTCTCTCTGACTTCAGAGTAACATGGAAGGCTATGAGTGGACTTCCATGCAAGGAGAGTAGTGAGGAAGTCATTGTAAAGAATTTATTCTAGAAGTATTGCTTGACCATGTACATTGTAGGGAGAGGGACATATGAAGGAGGAAATGTCCAGGATGATTTTCAAGATCCCAGGTTGAGTGGTTAGGTGGCTGGTGGAGTCATGAAGTGATACATGAAAACATAAGACCATGACCATGTTGACTGTTAAAATTATTTATTTTTTGTTTTGTTTTGATTGAGAAATGTAGATCTTAATGAGTTTGTAGAAAATCCAAATGAAGATATCTACCAGTTCTAGGTCTAAAATTCAAGAGAGAAATTTGAAAGTCATCTAAATGAGGCAAATACAAATAGGATACTAAACAATACCTTGGGGAGTATCCTTTAAGGTTGAAGAATAGGATCCTGAAAAAATACTGATACTGAGAAGAGATGGTCATTGGTACATCAAGAAAACTAAGAGAGTAATGTCATGAAGCCAAGGAAGGAAGAAGTGCTTAAAAGATCCAGACGCAAAAGGGATATTAAGAGACTATATAAGAGATCACATCTACAGGATCTGGCTTCTAGCATATGAATGGCAATGTTAGGGAGATCTACAGTAGAGTGACTTTACGATTGACCAGGGTAAGCAGGTAGGGTCAGTAAGTAGTGTAGTCACTCTAAATGCTTTAATTACAAAATGATTTTCTTCTATAGATTCTTCACACGAAATTGAGCAGACATCATTTCTCAAATCCAACCCTGTATCTGCTGCAAAAGCTATCCGATATGGTAAGTTGATGGTCGTGTTGTTACTGTCTGTTTAGCCTTCATCCTTCATTAACTAGGTGTCTCTTTTGGACATCCTTATCTTACATTTGCTATAACTTCACAGTGAGCAAGAATGAGTTTTATATTTATGTCCATGAAACCTCCAGAATCCTGTTTGGTTTCACATTTAGGCTCAAATAGATGGAAGAACATTTAAGTCTTGGGATAGAAAGAAAAGGGTACAAGACCAATCTTTTATCCTCACCTATTCCTTAAAGACTTAATATCTGAAATGACTTCCTAGAGTCTGTGTTTAATATTATTAGGCACTGTGGGGGGAAAAGAGAATACAAAGTTCTTTGATTGGTTGTGTTGTATGTGTATGTGTGTTTAATTAACACTGGAATCTTTTAATTTCCTTATGCTCTAAAGCATGTGGTGAAAAACTATGATTGTTATTATTCCACATGCATGAATTGAATATGTTCAAGCTGATGGACTGTAAGAGAAAGTTGTATAAGTGAAGCTATAAGAGGCGAACACATCTATCTCTTACTAGGAAGTTGGAGAAAGCTTCATGGAGAAGATTAGGATTTGAACTGAGTCGCAGTGGTTCCCAGTAAGAGAACAGCATTTCAATGCCTGAGCAAACGTGACATGTTTGAGGTTTGGTAGTGGTTTTTATTACAGCGAGAACAAGAATTTAAACAAGGACATGTTTTTAAGCGCCTTATATATTTTGCTAACAAACTTGGAATTTTCCTATTAGAATGTAAGTTCCATGAGGGCCAGTATTTTTATTTTTTCTATTCACTGACATCTCATCAATGTCTAGAACAGCACTTGGCTGTTCTAAATAAACTAACTAATTAAATATTGTTAAATGAATAAACAAATATTATTCTGTAGGCCAGTATCTAAAATTCTGATTGACTAGCATAGCCACCTGGGCAGACTTTTTAAAATCAAATTCTTTAGAGGTGAATCTTGGAGTCAGTATCTTTATGAAGCCCATCTGGTGTTTGGAATTACCACTGTTAACTATGGCGAGCCATTAGAAGGTGTGTTCTGAATTATTTCAACAGAATGGGTCATTGGTTTCATCTTCTTTACTGTAGATGTCTGTGGCATCCCTCAATTTAGTCCCCAGTGGTTTTCCAGAAGAATTGCAGGAGGGGACGAAGCCTGTCCCCACTGCTGGCCATGGCAGGCGGGTCTGAGGTTTCTAGGCGATCACCAGTGTGGAGGTGCCATCATCGACTCAATGTGGATTCTGACTGCAGCCCACTGTGTGCAACCGTGAGTAAAACTGATATTTTACTAATCCATTTAGCACATGCATTTATAAATAACACCTAAGACACAAAGATAATTGTCTAACTACTAAGGTCATTCAGACTCATTCTAAAGCGAGACTCTTCCTTTCAGTGTTTCTTCTGCATAGCCTCCTAGCCTTTATTTAAAATAATCTCAGTTAGGAAAAAGTTAATCAAATCTTTACATTGCTTGTCTGATTATTATGTTGAGTCAAAGTCTGCTTCCCTACCGCCAAAATCTATTGGTCTAAATTTACTGTAGTTCCAGAAAACAAGAACTAAGAACTACATTTATTTCTTCGTGCCTTTAATAACCCTTCCTATACAGATACACGAAGACCCCTCCCACATTCCTTTCTATGTTAGTCTTTAAGCTAAGTATTCATAGCTCTATGTTGGTTGTTAGTAATTCCAGATACCTTACCATGCAGTGTTCTTTCCCCTGGATTGGTGTTGGATTGTTCCTCTTAAAATATAGTTTGTGTCAGCAGAGGGCACAGAGGATAACCTATCACCTTGATCACTGGACAGATGAACTAAAATTTTGGTTAACTTTTGCAATGTTTTTAAATCATGAACTATTCCATGATATGAAAAAATACACATAATATATGTGTAGTATACAGAATCATTATTAAATATACATTTATGTTCTCAGCATCCAGTTTAGGAAAGATCTTTACACTTACCTACAAGACCCCTTAGCGCCCGTCTTAAGAAGTAAACATGGCCCATTACCTTACTAAGCTATTATCTGGCCAGGTATTCTTTGAGCTGTGGCTGCCATGTTTTCTTAGTTTTGGCCCCCTCCCATATCTTGGGGAGATGAATCTCTCTCTCTCTCTCTAATTTACTTTTTAAATAAACTACATTTTCCAATCTAAAAAAACAACAACAAAAAAGGAAACACTCTGCTAAATTTGCTAAATGTTCTATTCATTATACCTTTGCTTTTTTTTTTTTTTAACATGTTTGTATCCCTAAAACAGTGTATTGTTTGTTTTGTTTTGTTTTGAGCTCTCACTCTGTCACCCAGGCTTGAGTGCATGGTCATGGCTCACTGCAGCCTTGATTCCTGGGTTCAGTCATCCTTCTTCTTCAGCCTCCTGTGTAGCTGGAACTGCATGCACACACCAAAACTCCTGGATAATTTTTTTTTTCTGTAGAGACAAAATTGCCTAGGCTGGTCTTGACGCCTAGGCTCAAGCAATCCTACTGCCTCAGCCTCCCAAAGTACTGAGATTACAGGCATGAGCCACTCTGTCCTGCCTATTTTTTCTTGATTTTGATCTTTAACAAAATTGAAGTTTATATTCATCCATGTCTTGTTTTTATCCTCACAGTCTATTGTGTGGATTAAGCCATGTGACTATGCATGACTCTAATCAATTGGTTTTCAAACCAGACTAGCTAAGCCAATCACTTGTGGGTAGATTCTGGACACAGGTATTTTTGAAAGGCATCTCAGATAATTCCAATGTGTGGATGGGTAAAGCCACTCCCTGTCTCACTGACCTCATCTCGACCATTTCCCTTATCTGCTTACAGAAGGCCACCCCCACTGGTCTTTCTGTTGCTCAGACATGCTGAGTTTATTTCTGTCTCAAGGTCTTTGTAGTTGCTGTTTCCTCCTCCATTCAGGATACTACATTAATGTAGTTGTCAAATCTCTTTGAGTTCCTCTTGGCTCTAAGTTTCTCAGGCTTTTGTTTTTGATAATCTTAGTCATTTTGAGAAGTGCTCATCTGGTATTTTGTAGAGTGTCCCAAAATTGAGTTTGTCTGGTATTTTTCTCATGATTTTACCAGAGTTATCGATTTTAGAGTGGAAGACCACAGAGGTAACATACTATTTTTATCACATCTTATCAAAGGTGCATACATGTCTTATCACTGGTGTTAACCTTGATTATCTGGTTGAGGTAGTGTTTTCAGATTTCTTCTCTGTAAGTTTACATTTCCCCCTTTCCATATTCTTACTCTTTGGAAGCAAGTCACAAAGGGTAGCCCACAATCAAGGGCTTGGCCACCAAGCTCTACCTCTTCATCAGGTAGTATCTACACAAATTATTTGAAATTCTTCTGTGTGGAAGATTTGTCTCTTCTCTGCCATCTGTAAATTATTTATATCAGTATGGTCTAAGGAATACGTATTTTATAAGTACTTTGTTCAAATTGTTCCAGCTTTGACCATTATGAACTCTTTCCATTGGTTTCTGTGTGTTTGGCGGAACCCTATTCTTTTGTAACACTGCAAGACTCTCCAGACGCATCTTGTAGATTCTACTCAGTCCTAATGCCACCCATTTCTCTACGGCACCACCCGCTTTCATTTGGGTGCTGGGTTACTACTAGTTGCTACTAGCAAATTATTGTTCTAGGCCCTCTGAGTTGACAGAATAGGAGATATAAGTATGTATATTAACCCATGTATAGAAACATATCTATATATCTGTGTCAATTTTAAGTTGAACATGAGTTTATACAATGTACCCAAATATAATGCAGTACCATATGGTTTCTTCTAGGCCTTCTCCCCTTTAGAGAAGCCCATTTTGTAAGAATCTGTCAAAGCACTTTTTATGTATTATGGAAACGAATCCTCAGTAGTAGCTGATTAAGTAGTGAAAAGTGTAATGTATTAGAAAATAAAATAGTATTATGGAGTACAGAGAAAGCTCTGGTAGATTCCTTTTACAAATTGCATGGTCTATTCTTAAATTTATATGATGAACCACGACATCTTGCTGCAAGGTAGAGAACATGGCTAAACGATTATATCCAACTTGATAAGTCAGTTGAGATTTTAAAAAACAGGGCTGGCTGGGCATGGTGACTCAAGCCTATAAATCCCAGAACTTTGGGAAGCCCAGGCAGGAGGATTGCCTGATCTCAGGGGTTCAAGATCAGCCTGGGTAACTTGTTAAGACCTCATCTCTACAATAAATCAGAAAATAAGCTGGGTGTGGTAGCGTGTGCCTATAGTTCTAGCTACTTGGAAGGCTGAGGCAGAAGGATCACCTGAGCCTAGCAGGTCGAGGCTGTGGTGGTTGTGAGCATGCCACTGCACTCCAACTTGGGCAATAGAGTGAGACTCCGACTCAAAAAAACAAACAAACAGAGCTATAAATGTTTGTGAGCCATACAAGTCATCCACAAGAAAATTGTATTTAATTGCATCAGTGACTTCCTAAACTCTTTTCTAAAAAGCATTATAATAGTAATACTTTTGAAAAAGAAAAGGCAGAGAGAGTCATCAAGTAAAATCTAAACCACCCTCACCATGTTACCCATTGCTCCTCTGTAGAAGTCATCAGTAATAACATTGTTTTAATTGCCTAATTTTCCATTAACATTTAAACACATATGCCTAAATTTTATAGTATTTGTATATGCCACGTACTGTTTTATAATATTTTGCACATAACATTGTGTCTTATAATGATATTAAAAATGTCTGCCTCAACTTTTAACTCTTCATTGCTGCCTAACTTACTTGACCAGGGAGATTTTTTTAAAGCTAATCCTTAAAGTGAGTGAATCGATATACCAGATGTGTTTTAACATGCTGGTGTAACAAAAGTGGCTTATTCCACTCATGCCCTGTCTTTGTAGAAACTCTTCAGCTGACTCCTGCATGGGCTTGTTTCTCCCCGCTTCATCTTCATCAACTTTATGAACATCTAGAATTCCACTCTCCATTGAAGGGGGCTTCCAAGTATCCACATCTATTGAAAATGGGAGTTTTCATGTGGGGAAAGGCAGTTGAGGAGATATGTAAAATCTTGGCGCTGTGACACTTCATTTTTGCTGAAGGTCACCAAGGGCCAGACTGGCTGAAATTGTTGAGTAGTGTTCCCAAGACAAGGGGAGCTGACATCATATCGCCTCCCACATAACTTCCCCGGCGCTGGCTACCGTTGGTATTACTTCTTGAACTTTAGCATATATCAGAATCACCTAGAGGGACTCTTTCAGTCTGATGCAGGTCCTGAGAATTTGTGTTTCAACTGGTTTTCTGGTATAGTTGTCCCACATTTGGGGAATGCATGGTGTTCCCATCTTGCTGACTCCACACTGGTACTTTGGGAGGCTGAGGCAGGAGGATTACTTGAACTTAGGAATTCAAGACCAGCCTAGGAAGCATAGCAAGACCTCGTCTCTACAAAAAGTAAAAAAAAAAAAAAAAAAAAAAAAAAAAAAGGAAATAGCCAGGCATGTTGGCATGCACCTGCAGGCCCAGATACTCAGGAGGTGGAGGAAGGAAGATTGCTTGAGTCCAGGAGTTCAAGGCTGCAGTGAGCCATGATCGTGCCACTCCAGTCTGGGCAACAGACTGTGACAGTGACTTAAAAAGAAAGAAAAAACACCCTAAGGATATAAAAGTTGAGATTTGTTTAGGAGAAAGTGGGAAGAAAAGGTGAAGAAATCTGTCAGATGATACCTTGAGTTATTATCCCACTACTGGAAAAAAATCTGAGACTTCATTGCATCATGAAGTATATTTGTTTGTCACTTGTTTGTTTGTTTTTTTTTTTCATTAATCAGTATTTTTTATTATGGTTTTGTGGGGTACAGTTAAGGGTTAGGTGTACAATGACGTTTCATTCAGGCACCCTGTAGATAAGAAGTGTTTTCCCATCCCCCGACAGATATTTGCTACTGTTAATCCCATCCCCCTCCCCCCCATAGTTTCCCAGTACCATCAGTCATTTTCTTATAGTATTGCATTGGATGTTCAAGGTCCATTATATGAGTGAGAACATGTGATATTCGGATTTTTGTTTTTGTGAGAGGTCACTCAGTATTATAGACTCTAGTTCCATCCAGGTGGCAGCGAAATTCATGATTTTGTTCTTTTTTATGGCTGCGTAGTATTCCATCGTGTATATGTACCACATTTTTAAAATCCAGTCCTCTTTTGATGGGCAGCATGGTTGTTTTCCAGGTTCTTGCTATTGTGAACAATGCTGCGATAAACATA